CCGTCGCTTTCAAACCCCAGTGCCCCTTGCGTCAGTCACTGTGGCAAGAGGCACAAAGTTGATGAGAAAAGTTTAGGAGATCGGACACGGACACTTTTGACATTGTCGGACACCACTTAAGTGCTCGGGCAAAACTAAAACCACACCAAAACCCTAAGGACAGTGGCTTAATCGTTAGTAGGATCCCTAATCGGTTAGCAGTCACAGGGAAGGGACGCGAACCTAACAAACCGTCACAGCAAGGGACATACCTAACCCTAAGATACCATCACTGCTTTGTGACCTAACCCTAAGGTCACAAAAGGTGCCCGGTTGCTTCTGCTCCTGCCAAGGCTGGATACCGCTCGAGAAGCAACGGTCTGTACCGTACGCTGCCATTTTGCGCCCGGTACCGTCCGAACCCCAATTCTCCCCAAACTTTTCTCGTCAACTTTGTCCGTTTTTGCGTCACATGATCGGCACTAACGGGTGTTCACAGTGTGAGGTGACAGGTCCTGGCAAGCGGATTCCTCGAACTCAATGCAAGCTTCTGCTCGATCTAGTTCCAAAAGACTGCTGAATTTTCGCCATTCTGTGCTCCGGAGTATCCGGGTTGTATCGAATGGGGGGTAGCTTCTGACCCAGCCAGAGCCCCCTTTTCCGGCGTTCTTATACCCACACTACTGGTCACTTTCCAAGTAGGTGTAGGGGGTATTAGAGAGAGACAAACCTTCACCCCTTGATTGGCGAGATTCCTCCGGAACTGGCAGAAGGCGCCAGCGGCCGCCCAAGGCGCCAATTGAAGCATTCCAGCACCACCCCTGAGCTATGTTCCTGCGCTGAGTTCCTGAGCTTTGAAGTTTGAGCAGCTAGCGCGAAGTGTCGATCAGACAGATTGTAGGCGTAGCGTTGGCAGTGGGCACCCTCCATAAAAGCAGAAAGGCGCTGACACTGGCAGTTTCAATCTGTTCCGGGCTGGACACTCTCAAGTGGAATCCAAGAGCAAGCCACTTGCACAATGCACAGTTCTTAGAGGATGTTCGATTTGTGAGCCAAAGCTTACTTGGTTTTCTTCAAGATACTATAGTGTAAGACTTTGGAAGTACGTATGCCAGCTTCTCTATCTAAGTTGGTTTGGTCTTAACCTTCTGGGCCTGAAGTTCTAGAACCAGTCTCACATTATAGTAGGAAAGGCCTTGGTTCTGATGCAAAAGTAGCCTTCAAACACCTGGCAATCAAGTTGGGGCAGAAACATGGGCAAGAAGGGTTTTGGCGCCGCAGCTGCCACATTTGGGAAGGGCGATCTTCCCGGGTTCGTGAAAAGATCAGGGAGTTCTAGTTCCCTGGCCAACTCTGCTGGAAGTGACACCGGCACCGACAGAGAGCTTGGGCAGGGGTGGGAAGCGGATGGTTGGGACTTTGACAACGAAGACGATGCTTGGCTGGACGGAGGGGCAGATGTGGCAAAAAGAACGGCGGCAAATGGAGCGGGGTCGAAAAAACCAGCATCGAGAGAGAATGGGGGTAGGTTTGTAGTGGCCTTTTGCGCATTCATTTTGATCGAGATCTCCCTTTCTGAAAATGGTTGGCTTGATTGTATTGGAGGTTTACTAAGCATGCCCAGGTTCCAAGAAAGAAGTACACACTTATCTTTGCCGATGAGTCAGTGTGGTTCTTGCACACCAAGCGCGCCTCGCAATGCGAATTGAGTGAGATTGATGGAGCTGTCTGAGGTGAACATGGGACTCATGAGCACGGTTGTTGTATCAGTGCTTTCTTTTGTTTGTCGGTGAGGCCTTGTGTGATTCTTCTTTGTATCCAAGTACCTCGAAGAGGTTTCTACTTCATACGATCATCAAGAATGTCTCAGTGGGAAAAACAATTATGTTCCCGGAGTGCAAAGGTTTTCCTGTGTCCAAGTAACTCACTGGAGGTCTCCACTTAACAAAGTGGAGAAGAATTTCTCAGGAGGAACCACATATTCCCTGAGTGCAATGCTTTCCCATGTCCAAGTACCTCACAGGAGCTTCTACTTAACATGTTAATGAAGAACTTCTGATTTGGAAGGACATGATGTCTGCTGTGGTCAGCTGGACATTTCATCCAAAATGCTTTGAGTTCTTGCTGTGGCCTTGCTCTTAGGATGATATTTAGAGCTCTATCTTTTTGATGAAAATCGGCACCCATCCATTTTTGTTGGGACATGAACAGAGGTGCAGTCTCCGCTCAGCCTCTAGGGCATGCTCTGAATCTCCCAATAAAACTTTCCAGGATGACTTTGAAGTGTCCCTCACCACCTGCTTTGTTTGGAACGATTTTGAAACAATCAGCCCCAGTCAACACTGTCTCAATGCAGAAAAGGAACTTGCATCACATGTTTATGGACAGAAACGCTGAGGATAGATTTGATTGAAAAGCATTGGAGCGGAAAAGTGTTGAAGCAGTGCTTTGGAGGCTGCTGCGGTTTTGCTGGCTCGTCTCACTACAGCGGCAAACTCTTGAATTCTGCTCCCTTACAACTGCACCAAGAAGAAGTCAGCAACTGCTTCCCTTGCTCAAGCAGAGGTTTCTTTCAAAAAGCACTTCACTTAAAGAAGGCTCTGTGCACTTTGTCTGACCAGCCCCTTTGTCTTCCATGCAGGTACGAGCACATCAGGCCGGCCGCCTCTGTCCAAGCCAAGCACAAAACAGTCAAAAGACGGCCGGCTGGGAGCTCTCCGCCTTACCAAGAAGAAAGAAGAACCAGAGAGCAGGACTGCTTCAGAGCTTGACGTGTGGAACGACGACCTGGATGACCTGGAAACAGCGGGGCTCTTGAGCGATACAACAGGCAGGAAGGCAGAGCCGGAGGCAGCCGGAACGTCGTCGGGGGGCTTCTGGAGGGAGGTCTGGGTGCAGGCCTCGCTGGCGGCCCCGATCGCACTGCTACAGGTTTGACCCCTTGCTATATGGCTATGAAGTCCCACTCTGGATCATTTTTGCTAGGTTAGATTGCGTAAGAGCTCGAGTCAGATTGCTGGCGGCCCTGATTGCTCTGCTGGACTTTGCATATGCTCCTTCGTGCTCAGATCGATTCAGACGGTAACTGTGTGGAGCACGTGGGATCACTTGTGACGGCCATGCTTGCTGTGCAGGTTAGCAGTCTATCTCGCGCTCCCTCTGGCGTTCTCACAAAAGACATCTCCGATTCTCATTCTGGATCCGAGTTCTTGTTGCCTGATCCGAGATATGACGTCATCTTGACGAACCGCTCCTCTGCCGCAGGTCACTTGGTTTGGGCGCATGGTCGCCTCCCTCTATTTCATCGGCCACCTGGGGGGGGACGAGCTTGCGGGGGCAGCTCTCGCCATCACCTTCTCCAGCGTGACGGGGTAAGCTCACTTGAAGCGACTCCGTGACTCATCGAACTTTCGAGAGTGGCGGGAAGATGAACACAATCAACTTTGACAGCAACGTCCTGAAACTCCATAGGTCGCCGGATTTTGCTAGCGTTGTTTGCCAGTACTTTACTTGACTTCGAGAAAAGGACGGCCGCCGCTTGGTTCTGTTAGGCCCTCCGCTTCGAAGCATGGAGACACGCCTGCCTGATTTGCTTAATGGCCGGTCAAGCTTGTTAGTTTTAAAAGCGATTCAAGTCATGCATGTGCTTCGGCAGTAATCTGCCTCCATCGGAGCTGGCTTGCCACCAAGATATGGAGCGTCCTGAACATTCTCGTAGAAATAACGGCTTTCTCAATTCGCAGACTATTTTGGACCCCTCTTCGTCAACCCCTTCTCGCTTTCTTCCAACACCACCTGTCTCTCTTCCAAGTGGCAGGTAGTTCCTTGGTATGTGGCCTCTCAGAAGGCTTCGAGTCTCTCTACGTGCTGGCCTCTGGCACAAGAAAGCATCAGTCAGGCTTCGTCTAACCACCTCTACTTCATAACCATTTTCACGTCTCCAACCTTTGACTGCCACCTATTAAATACCTCTAATAATCTTGAATCCGCTTTCCAACCCGCAGGTGTTTCTCATGTTCGGCTTATCAGGCGGCCTGGAAACACCTTGAGCGCAAGCGTTTGGCGCAGGCGACCAGCAGTTGTGAGGATTGTCCTCTCTGCATCCAAGCATCTGTAACTTTCCGGCCTTTGTCTGATCGCCTGTTCGCACCCGAACGACCACAAAGCCGTCTCCTGATCCGCAGGTACTCTCTCATGTTCGGCCTCTCCGGCGGCATGGGAACACTCTGCTTGCCGGCCTTCGACGCGGACGTTTAGCGGCTGCAAGTGTCGTCCACTCTCCATCCAAGCCCTTTAACTACGCTCTTATTCTTAAGTACCCTACTCCGCCAGTAAAGCCGTCTTCAATCCGCAGGTACTTTCTGATGTTCGGCCTGTTAGGGGCGGCATGGACTCCCTCTGCTCGCAGGGCTTTCGGCGCGGGTATTGTCCACTCTCCACTTAAGCCCTTTAACCACTTTCTTACTCATAACCACCGCTACTCCACTACTAAACCCGTCTTTAACCCGCAGGTACTCTCTGATGTTCGGCCTATCAGGCGGCATGGACCCCCTGTGCGCGCAGGCCTTCGGAGCGGGCGAGTATGGCGCGCTCGGGCTGACCCTCCAGCAGGGGTGGGCCGTCCTGACTGTGACGTGCCTCCCCATCCTGGCGCTCTGGCTGAACCTCGAACCGCTGCTCCTGCTGCTGAGACAAGACCCGATGCTCGCGCACAAGGCGGGGACGTATCTGCGGTTCCTGTCGGCCGACCTGTTCCTGGCGGCGTGGGCGCAGCCGCTGAGGTCGTATCTCCGGTGAGTTCATTTTCGTCCTGATTACCTTTATTGTCGAAGGAGCGGGAGAGACTTCTTGTATACGAGTGTCCAGAGAGCGGATTATAGCCTGCTTTGGCATTGCCATCGAATCGGCTTCGATCAACGAGCTCAGGCTTACTTGAAGTTGAAGTTGGAAAATCGGACGCGGTTCTGTTATTGTGTCTAAACATTGTTAGGCGTAAAGACAAAGCTTATTCTGCCGCAAGTCCTGCTAAAGCCGCCAGTCTATGCAGCCCTCATGCAAGGTCGGCAAGCGTATGCAGTGGCTCGTTGCCCAAAGCTTTCTTGCCACAGTGTGCATCTCGACTTTCTATAAAAGCTTCAGACGGCTACGAGTCTAGTAAGTCCAGGTCACGGAGGGTTTCAGAGTGCTCAGAGCACCTATGCCTGCAGGTAAACTGCGCCTGCCAGTTTCGCCTTCCCACATCAATCTCTGTCGTCCTTTCAATCCCAGAGAAAATATGGACTGCCAGTATATCCTCCGCATCCAAAAACTTTGTCCAGTCGGACCCGCAATAATCGCTACACTCAGTTCTGGATACAAAGCAAAAAAAAAAATCTGCGCCCCAGCACTTACCATCGGACTTTCTTCTTCTCCAGCTCCCAGCACATCGCTCGCCCCATGGCCGCCGCCGCTCTGCTCGCCTTCTCCGGCCACATCCCGTTCCTCTACCTCTTCGTCACCTACCTCAAATTCGGCGCCCCGGGGGCGGCCATCGCCAACACGATCACCAGCTTCAACTTCGTCCTCACGCTCTTTATCTACGTGCAATGCTTCCCTGGTCCGCACCGGAAGGCCTGGGCGGGTTGGTTCGTGTCGGCTCTCGACCCCCGCGGGTGGGGCCCGTTGTTACGGCTAGCGTTGCCGGCATGCATAGCCACGTGTCAGGAGTGGTGGGCGTACGAGGCTATGATCATCATGTCCGGCTATCTTGCGCGGCCTGATGTTACGGTCGCGTCCATGAGTGTGGTCATGAACTGTAGCTCGCTGTTCTTCATGCTTCCGCTAGCGTTGTCCTTCGCGGCCGCGGCGCGGGTTGGGAAGGAACTAGGGGCGGGGCGGCCGCAGGGCGCGAAGACCGCGGCGAAGGTGGCGGTCGGGTTCGGGGTCCTCGCGGGGCTGCTCATGTTCGCTCTCATCGAGACGCTGCACAACAAGATCAGCCGGTTCTTCACGAAGGACGAGGAAGTCATAGCACTCGTCTCGAAACTGTTGGTCATTCTGGGGATCACCGAGCTCGGAAACGCCCCGCAATCGCTATTGTCGGGCATCCTGAAGGGGGCAGGGCGGCCGACTATCATAGCTTGGTTAGGCCTAGTGACCTACTATATCCTTGCTCTTCCATTAGCGATAACCCTAGTTTTTGTCTTGCACTGGGAGGCTCAAGGGTTCTGGTGGGCACTCGTCTTCTCGCAGAGCTTCCAAGCCATTGTGCTAGGAGGGTTTGTAGTCTCGCAGGACTGGGATGACCTAGCGGATAGGGCGAGGAAGTTAGCCGAGGTTCAGGGTGAGCAAGCAAATACTGCAGTTATTGCTCTTGCTGCAACAGCAGCAGGAGAGCACGGCGGGCAGAAGTATTCCATAGCCGATGATCTTGACGATGATATGCTCTAACTTCTAAGCACGCTAATGAAGATCTAAGAATCTGTAGGTCGAGGTCTGCTGATCGTCGAGGTATTCGCTGCAAATCAGATGATGAAGCGCTTAATCATTGACTTGAGACAGGAACCGTAAACTTCGACCGTTATACTTTGTTCAACAGTACCAAGTGCTTTAATCCTTGTAGTTTGAAGCCGCCTCCCAAGTTGAATCAAGCGCAAGTTTGCTACAGCACGTGACGACCAAAACTCCCGGCCCTCACCTACTCTATAAAAATTCTCATCTCATTGCGAGCAGCGTACGCGACGCAATGCAAGCTTTGATAGTCACTTCATGTACGAGTATAATCAGACTTAATCAATGCATGCTCGGATCGGCGTTGCGTAACTGAACATACCCGGTGTCAACGGCTGGCTAGAGCGCCTGTGCTATTGCAGTATAAGCTAGATCGCATCATTGCATTGTATCTGATGTCGGACTTATCGAACTTAATCGCACATGCATGTGGATCATGCAGCATACATACATGCGCGCACACCAGCTTGCGCAACGTCATGCTGCCCTGAGGCCTACTTTCCGGCACACTTGAGATTAAACTAGTATACGGCAGGGCGAGCCATATGCACCGTCGTGCTAATCCTTATGCTTAATCCACTGATCGACACATGCAGCAACTTAAGTTACGAACTTGAACATGCAAGTATACCGTACGCCGGCGCGCCCGGCCTCTTGTTCGTCTAGCTCACATGCAACAGCCATGTATAGATAGCTGGATGGACGGTTACCTGGATGGACGGTTCAGATGCATGTCCTGTTTTTTGGCAATCGTGGATCTCAACGACGATCTTGATTTAGCATGCTCTCCGATCTCTGACCTCGGTTATAGGTATTGCCAGGCATGGCCAGACTATGATTCACTAAGTTGCGCATTTACCTGCGTCCGACCTGCATGAAATTCAGTCTCGGAGCTAGTCGAATCCAAGTTTTACCTGCTTCTGAAGTACAAGTCCTAATGATATCAAGAAGAGGCACTCCTTGGGGAGCGGATCTGGGCTCCTGACAGCCTCTTAAGTGTCGAACTTGCAGCGACGATGCGCCGTGGAAGCAGCTTTTCGTAATTTTATCGAACTGCTGAGCCGCTTCATTCCACGTTGCAGATTTCGACGAAGGGGCAAATGTCGAACAACTTCGAACTTCTAGGCTTGACGATCAGGGCAAGGCGCTTCCCCTTCTGAGGGATTCTTGTCAGCAGCCTAAGTAGGTCGTAGCATTTGTTGGAGTGGCCCGCATTTTGTCTTGGCCACCAAACAACCCTTCGTTTTCTTCGAGGGCAGCTTTTTGTGCATGCTGCGCAACAGTTTCTGGTCAGGATTGGCGCACACACATGAAGAGATGCATTAGCAAAGTTGGTATAATCTTGAAAGAGGATGTTAGGGAGAAGGCGAATTGAAACTTGAAGCGACAGTAGGCCGGTACTACAGAAGGAGGGTGCCTGCGCCTGGCATCAGAGATGGAAAGTGTCCAGGGGCCATTCTTTGATGCGCATGATCGAAGACAACCAGCCTACTTGGAAGCTCCAGCTTTCACCTCCTTCGAACGCGTCGGGGTTCTCATTCCGCTTGCTGAGAGAGCCGCTGCGGACCTCTTGGCTGCTTCCACTTGCCAGACGGAACGGATCCGCAAGCTTTTCAGGAGCATCACAGCGCTTACAGAGACCTTTCGCAGCTTTGAGAGCGAGCAGGCTCTTAGAAACCATCCAGCCATCCAGCATGAATGGCTGCTCAGAGTGGCTGACCTCATGCATGCCACCAGACAGGCCTTGTTTGAAGTCATCTGTGTCTTCGGACAGAAGGAGAGGAAGCTCCAATGCCTTTCTGAAGAGTTGGAAGGCTTCCAAGCGGAGTGCCTGGACGTCGCGCGCAGATTGCTGCCTGAATCAACTTACAAGAGAATGTTTCAGCCAGAGCAATCCGCATTCGTCACTCACGAAAGAAGGAGCTCTCTTCTGCAGAAAACGGAAGCTTTTTCAGCTATAGGATGGCCTTCTGTCAAGGAAGAGATTGGGTCAGAACACACATGGCTGAAGAACGAAGTCAGCAGGCTCTGCATGAGAGTGACAGCATTGGAAGAGCAGCTTCCAGTCAAGTCGCCGGATGCAAGCAAAGTGGGAGAAGGACAGAAAGTGCTTATAGATGAGAAGACCAACAAGCAGGTAAGCTTCTATCAATCTCCTTGTGAATCTCTTCTTAACGATGCAGAGTGCTCCCGAATCTCCTCCCAAACGATGCAGATTGATCTGCCAAAGATCGTAATCAGAGCTTGACTCGACTTTGTACCGGATGCAAAATTTGCATCAGATTCCGTGGTTTCCGAGAATAAGGCTTGTCCTCAAAGAAGGGTTTGTAACCTCTGCAGAGGAAGATTGTTAATTCAAGTCGCATGCTTCTCTAATTCTCTTCCCAAGAATGTCTTGAAGGGTCTGATTCTTTCAATGAGTTTCTAGAAGAAAGCGATCCTTTGAAATTTTAGGACCTGGGGGCCTCCTCACATTCCGAGCAGATTCAAGCCTGTACGCTGTTTCTTTGCGATGCGCAGCCTTCTTGAGCTTCAACTCTACTCGATGCTTTCTAGGGATGTTGGTGGAGTATGACTCTGATGAACAAGACGGTTAGAAACTCTGTGCGAACGGGCTTGCTATATCTCAAACGGGCTTTCAGCATTTTCTTCACGTGAGTGCAGGCTCGTTCGTATATCTTCATGACTGGTAGCTTGCCTCGTGCAACCGGGTGTCAAGTCTGCAATGTACTGAACCTTGAGCAGATTTCAGGGTTTCCGCTTATGACAAACTTTTCAAAACGCTGCATCGCATGAAGCTTGAAGTAAAGGATGGATAATCAATTTGGACCATTTTAAGCTTGAGCTTGACGAAGCATCTTGTGAGAATCTACCAGACATGTAACGAGCATTTGTCCATTGTGAAGATGGTCATCTTCTGGGTCTGAACCGTTTCCTCGCTGCATCTTTTGCAGGTTTCTCGATCCAGCGGAGGCCCTTCCGCTTCAATCAGGCACACGCCGGAATCTGCGTCCACGACTTTCCAAGATTCGGCAACTCTGTCGACGACGCAATTCCCTCATCTCGAGAGCGAGCCTCTCCCGAGATTTGCCAAAGACTCAGCCGCAACAAACTCAAACGATTCAATGGTTCGGGTGACGAGCCAATCGCGCCCCTCTTCCGCACGTCCGGCAGCTTCCCAGCTCAAGAGCAAGGAATCACTCTCAGGCCACAGAATCACACCGGAAAGTGACGAAGCTTCGGTCGTCAGCGAAGCAGAGGACTGGAAAACCGCCGGCTGTGGCCCCGAAATCTTCGTCACTCAGATCCCGCCCCAATTGCCCCCGGAGATCGTTCAAAGCCGAGTCCAGAGCGCATTCCGAGACTTCTTCGCGGGCTTCGACGCCTTACCCCGGGGGGTTTTGGACGTCCGAGGAATCCGCTCCTCAGTGGAAGCGCGATCAGGCGAAACTGTCGCCTACGTCGAGCTGACGTCGCTACTCCCGGCCCAGGTCGTCATGGACGCGAGTGCGCGCGCGCCGCTGCGCGTCGTCGCGTCCGTCCGCACCCTGCGAGACCATCTGGGGATCCCCCAGAAGATCCGCATCCCGGCCCGTCAGAAATGCGCGCCCGCGCCGCCCGCGCGCGCGGAAATGGAAGCGGTGCGCGCGCTCGAGGACACGGTAAGGGCGTGGGAACCCCGGCGCTGCGCATACGCGCGCGCGCTGCGCGCGGAGGGCGATCTGTGCTCGCTCGTGCGGGAGAAGGTCCGGGCTTACGCGGGCGCGGCGTGGGAGCTCGAGGTTTTGGCCGTCGGCCGCCACGCGTGCGTGCGCTTCCCGAGCGCGGCCGCAGCCGACGAGTTCTTCGACCGGCCGCGAACCCGGTTTGACACCGAATGGGACCACGAGCTGTTCATCTGCCGGCACCGCAACTACCTGCCTATGCCGGACCTCTACTTCGGGCCCCTGTTGTCCCAAACCCTCAAACCCCAGCAGGTTTCGCCGCGGCCGGAAGCGAAGACACCGACGCCCAAAACCCCAAACCTCTCAGGATGTGAGGGAACAACGCCGACGACGCCCACAACCCCCAACCTCCCAGAGTACGAAGCGCCTGACCTTGCCGGGGCCTGGAACTACGACCTGTACGTGGCAGAGACCGCCGAGCGGGCGCGGCCGCCGATCGCTTCCGACCGCGCAGAGACGAGATTGGAAGATCGGAAGGGGGCGATTCCGAAAGAGGAGAAACTTTCCGAGCGCCGCGAAGGTGGGGAACAAACGGAAGGAATGCTTCTTGCGCGGAACGAGACGCAGGAGAGGCCGGCTAACGGGTTCAGGAACGGAATCAGGGCCGGAACTCGGCGCGGGTCTGACGTCAGCTTGAGCGCCAGTGACGTCAGCTCAGCGGGGGTGCTCGTCGGAGACAAAAGGGAGGGGCCGGCCGCTCAATGGGGAGACCATTTGCAGCAGCCTTTGGGTTTCGAAGAGGAGATCGTGCCACCCAGTTCGATCAGCAAGGCGACCGTAAGAGTTCGAAGCGAGGGACGGAATGGGGAGACGTCTGAAAGGAGAAACGAGGTGACTGGGGGAGCTTCCACGAAGGGGACAGGGGGTGACACAGCCGAACGGAAGGCAGTCGGGGGGCCGGCTTCGAGCAACGAGACCGGGGTGACTGTCAGAAACGAAAGCGGGCGGCAAGCGACCGATAAACTGTTGGATCTGGAAGATGAAGAGTTCAACGAGAGGGGCCGCTGTGTAGATTACGAAGACCCTTATGACTCGGCGGCAGGACTGACCGAGTCCGGCGCGTCATGGGTGGTTGATTCGATGGAACCGTTTGATGACCTTCCGGACGGGTTTGAAACGGAACGCGGCGGAGTGAGGACGGGCGGAAGTTGGGGGGAGCTAGACCGGACGGAGAGCCTGGGTCGGAATGAGGAGCCTGGCGCGAAGATCGAGCGCCCGTTCTCCAGTCCCGGTTCATTCTTTGGAGCGAGAGAGTCTCAAACTATCTGCACGAACGGGAAAAGCAGTGAGTGGTCGGTGCGAGCGACGATGCAGTCGGAGGAGCCTACCGGGGACTCTGCCGGGAGAGCGGTAGCAGGCCCGCCGGGCAAGCCGGGGGCCGCCCAGAGGAGAGTGTACGCGCCTTCGCAGTTTGAGCTTTCGCCGGAGCTTCTGCGGGAGGGCGTAGGGTTATCAAAGTCGGGGGAGTGCTCGAAACCGGGGACTTACGTGCCCTCTTGGCGGAAAGATGAGGCGGAGATTGATACAGCCGACCTCTAGCGACGGAGGCTTGATTGAGAATGCAGGAAGAGAAGGCCAGCCTCTAGCTGCGCACGTTTGTTGATTGTTGATCGGGGGTAAGACTTGCATGAACCAGGTAAACGGAAGTAGTCATGGATTTGCTTGTCAAGATGGCAATAGCGGGAATTGTGCATGTTCGAGAAGCCAGGTAGGACCTTGAATTTGTTCGTTGTATGATTAAGATCGATTCAAGGGCTGGCATTGGATCACTTGATTCAGTGCAGTGCTTTGCTCTGCAAGCAGGTTTATGACCACTATGTTTCCTGATACAACCAACGAATCACGGAACATTCAACTGGAATTTTTAATTCTTGAGAAGCAAAGCTTCATTTATGGTCTGCGTTCCGAGGGTGGTACTTAATTGTATTTGTGATGGACTTCCCGAGGAGTTTGGGGTGCACGTTACGCGTCTACATATGCATTGTGTGTATTATGCATGCGCCTAAGTTTATAGAATGCAGTGCTCCATTCATGTGCAATTACAAATGCACATGTGATCATGATGGTGCCGATGTCACTCACACCGACAGAAGAGCTATACCGTATACTGGCCCGCGCCGGCCGGCCATGCGGTAGGCTCTGTCTGCATGTGACCGCTAGCCGCTCAGTCGTGGCGCGGTGCTAGTGAGTATCAATGTTTGATCGATGTTTCGCAGTGATGAGGGCCAAACCGCGATGGCACGCAGCTGCTTGTTAAATAAACCCTTATCCGCACGCGTGATCGGTTAAGAAAAGCTACACTCGTGCAATGATTGCATGTTGATGTATGAGTCAAGATAAAGTTAGCAGCAGCTTTGCAGTTTGGCAACTATCATGCAACCAATTAACAACTTGAGGGCGTCCGGACCATGATCGCAGCCAATTTATTCGACAATTTCGGCAGCACGATCATGAAAGTGAACCGTCATGAACCATTCAATGTACATGAAGCTTTGTCCCTATTCTGCACAGGCCTCAAATGCTCCTCAAAACCGGTGGGACCATCGACACCATAAGGATATTCATGCGTCAATCGCTTCATAATCGTACCCGGCATGCCAACACCTCATGCCTGCCACGAAAGGATTGAACTCGTGGCACTTATGTGCTGCAAAGTCAATGGTCTGAAAGGTCCCTTGTTCCCACAACACTGCAAGTATGCATGGCAAAGAGACCCAAATCGCAACGCTCCACGCAAGCAGCAAAACGCTTACGAAGAGAATAGGAAGGGCCCATGACTTATCATTGTCCTGCAGAGTTCTCGTGTAGAAGCACGTACTCTCGCCTGCACAAACGAATTGAATGTCAGGAGGAGACGCATTTACAGGGATGGCATTGAAATAGGAATCCGCGAGAACAAAGGGTCGATGTACGACTTAGCACTCAACCATGCTGCAAACACGAACTCTCAAGCGCAAGGTTCAGATTCACAGATGGTCTTTCAGCTTTTGAAAGGAGAGTGGCATGCACAAGAATAGCGGACGCTCTCTGCACTCGCTCATGCAAAGAAGCCAAAGTCTCTGCTCGAGAGTATTAAGTAGAATTCAAAGCGTGCCCCTCGAATCAAACCCAGAAGGAGGGACTGGCGGAGCTCACGTGCTGTTCCCAAACTTGATTGCGTCTTTCTCCAGCAGCTCATGGTATCGCTGAGCCTCTATTCGCTTTCCCTGCAAGAAAAACGGTGCGGATTTCCTTACCAGCAAAGTCAACATGTACCCAACTTGTGTTGCCAGACTGCGGCTCAAGGAAGCCTTTCAAACAAATCCTTTTGCCGCAGATTTGGGACAAGCAATTTGCTCATGGCATGCAATTGATAAGGATGCATCCAGCACAAAGGAGGTATTCAGCATCTCTGAATCATTCTAAAAGGTCGGCATCCTTCGTCGGTCCTGTTCTGATGCACACCCATCTTACCCGTCCTCCCAATCTCCTTGGAGCGACGGTCGGGCTGTGGCCTAGCGTTTAAAAAGGGACGGGTCCATAGACGTTCGCGCAGCTGACAAGAACAGCACTGTGTCGATCGCTCTTTTACCAAAGTTGCCAACCGACCGACCGAACGTATCCAATGGAAAACCGACCGGATTCAACCCTACGTGATCCGAGATCGAAAGGGTTCGCCTCTAAGAACAATGGTCCAGAGTGCGGCGGTTGGGAAGGAAAGCGGGGGGGTCCACATGCTCAGAGAAGTTCGGGGTGTTGTAACAATCACACACTCCGTCTAGAACTGAGACAGGCTGGTCTGGGGACTCAAGTTGGAAAGAAGAAACGCTGGTGTGAAGATGCTCACGTTCAGATACGTCCCGTTGGTGCTGCCGAGGTCCATGATGTACGGCACGACCAGGCTCTTCATCATGCCGTCCGCGCCTTCTCTTTCGGTCAGCCTGCAAAGCGGAAGCTTGTCTGGTTTTCGAGGGAGTGAGGATTCAAGGAGCATTCCCGAACTAGGTGTGAGAGAAATATCGTGGAGGATCACGCTCAAGTCTCGAGTCTGGCTGAAGCGGCAAACCTAAATTTGCCGGCACTGCTCTAATTGCGAACGGAGAACGATACCCCGACGTCCTCTTCGAGGTGGCAACACGTCACTTGAATCCTAAATGCGAACGACGAAGGTTTGCCGACAAACTCGGGGCAATCCGTGCCGCAGTGAAGCCAGAGGCAGGAAACGACCGGTCTTGTTCGCCCTCTAAATTGGGGCCCTTTCGGGCCGATAATGAACGATATTCGATTACATCTATTCTCCTCCGCTTTTAGCAAGGGCGTTCATGATTCAATTCGGACCTAATTGGAGCTTGCGCTGCCGGTGTGTATGCTCGGCCCATTGACAGCCGACCAGAATCGCCAAAGACGAAGCTCAACCTGGAAGCTGAGGCGATGCTGACGTCAGCTCACCTGAATTGGATCACCGCGTGCTGCTTGCTGCAGGAAGGATGGTCTGTGGGGATGTCGGCAATCTGCAATCAGCGAAAGGAACGCTTGGTTCTATGAATCGACTTCAAGCTCTAGGATCCTTTTACTGCTTTCCTGCTCTCGTCTTTGAGCGAATGGAGTTTGCTCACAGAGTCTATTCGCGAACACTCATCAACGTCTCCGTATCAAGTGTTCCGCCTGCGGAAGCTTAAAATCTAGGCTACGAATCACGTTCAAGCATAAAGTCCGGGAGTTTACTTGGAAAGGTCTCCAGCTAGTACGGGTTGATCCTTCGCATCAACTGTTGCCTGATACGAATCAAAACGGGGCACGTAGTCACGTTCGAGAAGAGGTCTTATGAGCAGTGGAAGCTACCTTCCTAGCACCAGATGCTCTTTGGTCACGACGCAGGTCGCTTTCAAATGACTTGCAACATTTGGACCGCTACTCTTGGGCCGTTCTCGTCTTTTAAGCGGGTTCAAGTCGAAATTGAAGCCGGTAATCAAGAGAAAGTTGCATTCCATTGACGGGGAGGAAACCAACCCACCTTTCTTTCCCGCCCGAAGAGATAGCAACTCTGCCGGTGTATATACAACGGATCTGCACACGGAATGTTGTAGAATTTAACGACAGGCTCTAGTAGTCAGGATCTGGGCATTTCATGGAAATTGTGGACATCTAAGCTTGTGGTCTGCGGCGCCGTTGCTTAAGCATGGACAGGGTCGTTCGTTTCTCGTGCCTCATTCACGATCAAAAACTTCGACTCCACTAACCTTTCTTTGAGCACAACCTCTTCACTCTCTTTTTCATCTCTCTACGCTCGTCACCTCTGCCACCAATGTCGCAGTGTATCTGAAAGTCAAAGGCTTGACCTACTGTACCTAGAGAAGCGGAAACCCACTAGTGTTGCCGTGCGCTCACCTTTTAAGGGCTCGTCGCCTTTAAACACGTACAGCCGCCATCGCCTCGTGGGCTTCCGGGCTTCCGGAGGTTCGTTAAAGACGAGCGCAATTCCTGCAAACGGAACACGATGCAAGTGCTGTCAGCAAAGCAACAAAGAGAAAGAAGGGCCAGCGTATGAATACTATTTCTACAAGGATTCAAGTCCGCTGTCGCCGTTTGTACTGCTGCAGAGTATCAAGATGTGTCAAAACAACGTCGTTTGAAATTCACGAGAAGCGTTTGTGTGAATGGACCAGAAGCTTGTACCACTTACCGAGATAAAAAGGTTCGAGAAACGAGGTCCAAGCACGCAGATGCAAGTGTGAGCCATGACACCTGCTTAGTTCTCGCTCCAACTAAAAAGAGCACACACAGACGCTGATCAAGGAGCAACAAGACGCTCTATAGCGGACGGTAATCGGGTCTGTAGCTGGACGTTTGGAGTACGCTCAGAGGCTGCTAGCAAAGATTCGTTTCGCCTCACCGTTCACTTTGTTCGTCTCTTCGGCCAACTTCCCAGAGTAGCCGAAGTCCGGTTGTACCTGCGATGTGCCGCTACCTGCTTTGGAACCATAAATTGGCTCGCTTTAAAGACAACGCCTCAGCTGGCCCAAACCCTATTCCAACCGAGTGGCAATGGCACCCGGATGCGGGTCCACATTAGGCGGGACTCGACGAGCAGATCACAAACCGATTCTCGACAAAGACCGTTTGAAAAGCTCAGGATGTTTATACTTGGTTCTACCCACTTCACTCAATAAAAAACTTTACCCTGAGCACAAACGACTGAGGAAAACCTCGGACCTTTACCCTAATACGGCACTGCAAAGGTTGAGATCCTGAAATTCAAGGACTCCAGAGACGCACCTAAGACATGCTACAAACACATTCCTTCCTTGTGTCTTCAAGATATTCCTCTCGTCAATCAGTTCGCAACTGCTAACTTTTGAAAGTCTCCTCCGCGAAAGAAAGGGCAGTTTGAAAAAAAAAATCGGTTTTGCAAATCGCTGCATTGCAGAAAGACGAAAATCTCCCGCTTCAGAAGCCGGAATGGATTTTAGTGAAAAGATCGTCTTTCCTCGCACCTTCTGGGCTTCCTTTTCTTCTAGCGCTTTTTGAGCAGCCTCCATGGCCGCTAAGCTGGCATCCACAGGCGGCGGTTCTGCCTGCTCCCTGTGTAGAACAGAGAGCACGATCTTTTCAGTTGCAACCAATGAACAAGAGGCACAGTCAGTACGCACGCTTTCCCCGTCGTGACACAATCGTTTTGGGTTCTGCCAACCAGGCAGTTGTGTCAAGACATCAGTTCGGAAACGCGGCGCACCCTTACACAATCTGCCCCAAGACGTCGCCGTCACAAATTAAGGCCGGCCTTTGCGGTTGGCAGACAGCATAAAATGCAGCCCCAAAGGTGGAAGTTGGGAGCTGCCCCCATCGTTGGCCGGTTCCAAACTTGTTGCGGGGCCCATGAGCGTGCCTACTGACTGGGCAATCAAACCGAACAAACATCGAATTTTTGATGCACAGCAAGGTCTACCAAACTAGCCTATGACTGATTCAATGTTGGCATCGATGGCCTTGAAGGTTGACAAGAAGATTCGCTCTCTCAAATACGGAAAAACCACTTGGTGCTGTCCTTCGTTCTAAAGTGTTGAGGAGGATTTGCAAAAGCTAGATAAGTTCTAGTGAATCAGTGTCGGAAGCAGTACACGGGGGCTTCACTCATAAAATGAAGGCGAGAAACACAACGACGAAACGAGTTGAGTCGTCCTGGAAAATCTTTTCGCCTTGTAACGTAGTCTCTAACGCAGAAAACCAGCTTAATTTTCATGTAGGAATACAATATGCGTTCTTACTCAGGCGAGTCTTTCCGGAGGGGCTCCTGCCGTGGCCGCTTTTCTTCTCTGCTCCTTTCGTCCTGCAAAATTGCAGGAGTACACGATAAGAGGATTGCAAACTTGCAAGATCACAGGGTCGCATAGATAGATTGCCCATGAAATGATGGAGCACAGCTCACGCGAGAAAATGGGTTGACTTCGAACTGCCTCGACAGACTAGCGTGTTTTGAACGCATGTTAACTAACACCTGGAATGCCAGGATGCGCCTGCTGCACTGATAAAACTCTTGCCAACGAAGCAGATTGGACCTCCCCATGATTGTTTTACATATTACCAATGAACTCAGGCCTAGAGTACATTCTGCTCGGAGAGCCAGAATCTCTCTGTCTTTCTCTCTCTTTTAGTCAATGCCCCTATAAAAGTCATGAAAACACGGCCTTCTGTCGAACCTCAGCTTGACATACAAAACCAGCACTTGCAGGAGACCCTAATGATGCCAAAAGTTTACCCACCCTTCGACGGTCATCCCCTCCGCGTCCTGCTTCGTCCTCCCCTCGTGCCCTCGCTCTTTGAGCCCCCCCGTTGCGCTCCGGCGATCGGCTCCTCTGTCTGTGATCTCTGCTCCGATGATCCCTGTGTCCTTCTCTTTCTCTTTCCCGCTCCCTTTCTGACTCCCTCCCATTTCTATCCTCTCTATGACTGTCGCGATCCCGGTCCGGGGGCCTTAGCTTTGGTCTTGGAGGGGGGGACCTTGACCTGAGGAGAGCCGAAAGCCGTGTGAGTAACTTCGTGAAATTAAGTGCTGATTTCTCTGAACTAGTCGTGTTCTCAATCGAATGGTCTACCACCGCTGATCAACATTCTCAAGGTGAGCTGAATGACTTGGTAAGCAGCAGCAAGCATGTACGATTGCTGCTTGAGTGAGGGGGGCTTGGAGCGAGCAGCATGGGTCATATCTTCAACCCTTAATGAGACTCCATGAAGTCCCAATGTATTTGCAGTCATCGAACACTGAGTATGCCTCCCTCTGCTGACTGCGAAACTACCGATTGTTGAGTCTACAGTCCCAATTGATTAACATCCTTGCCTGCCATCAGCAATTGAGTTTAATGACAGGCAGTCCAAGTTGCTCAGCCTTTGAGAATGAAACACCACCAATGCACTGTAATCTAGTAATAAAACTGGAAATTCATGCGAGACTACATAACACTTTAGCACCAAATTTGGGAGTAAACTCACATCCGGGTAGCTCGCATGTTTGCAAGTGACTGGAGTGATCCTCCTCATGGAAGTGAGCTCTCGTGACTGAGCGGTTCTGTTCTAGTGATGCAGGAGGGTTTATGAATCATATTCAGAAGAACTTCTTAATCGGACAGATCTCCAAATAAACGGACGGTAAGCCAGAAACCTTCCCGCATATTACCTGGAGCGTCTTCCAGCTTGTTTCCGCTGCTCCTCTTTCATCCAGGCTGGCTTGACCATGTCCCTCCCCCGGCCTGCTGCCATCGTGACAATGGAGCGTGTTGCACCTCAGCAGCCGAATGGTGGCCTCAAGAACAGAAGGGAAAACAGGTTGAAGAAGCGAAGTGGATACAAAAAGCGCCCTTTTTCACAATGTCATTGTCACATTGAAGAACTTCGACTGTGACACAAGCCATATAGACAAACAAAGAGAAACTTGAAGTTGGTGAACTTCTGGGAGAAATGCTGTGGCAGAATGTGAGGTACCTCAAGAGAGATTCGGAAGCATTGTGCTTGTCAGGGTAACTTTCAATATTTCTAGAGGGCTTCATGCCCTGCGAGTCTTCAGGGAGATTTCGTCCACCCTCTTGACTCCAGAGGCTGAGCACTCCAGAATCGAGAGTTTCAGCAGGATCAAAGCGCCGCCTGCCAGACTTTGAAGGAAAGGTTCTGGAGCACTGGGCCTCAAAGGGACTTCAGCGCTGGCAGCACCTTGGCAGACGTACTGCACTTTGCAGGTTCAGCCTTTAATAGACGCTTTTCGGCCCGGGGTTCGATAACTTTCTGAGTTGCGCGAATATTTGTGCGCGGTTGGCAAGAAGATTCCCGAGGGGAAGGAAGGCTTAACATTTGCTTGCTGTGATCCGGGTAACAGCTAGGGCCGTGCATTTACCAAGATGCAAAGCATCCAGGAACTAGAAACTAATCTGACTACATATTATGCACAATTACAGCAGGTAAGTGCCTGCACACGATCCTGGTCCCCTTGCTCGTTTTGTATGTGCCAATTTTGTCTAATGTTTTTGAAGCAATCCTTGTGAGACAAGCCTGTGGTTTATCGGACACTTAAACTCGGATGATACGTGTTTTTGGCATAAGATCTATCCATTTTGGAAATGTCCTCTCCGAGTTCCGCCTGAAGATGTATGCAGCATTTGCTACTTCAACTCTCCTGACCTCAAAAAAAGTATAGAGGAAGATCATAGAGTTGCAATCCGCTGTCATTCAGCATTTGGCTTCACTTCCCCTTGTTAAGGACTTGAAGTTGAGGTCTCCCAACCTGTGCAGGCTCGACAATTGGCGGCCTCGGACCCATCAAATGAGGAGTACCCAACCATTGTGCAGGACCTTGAGGAGGTGAGATGTTTATCCTGATACTTTTCACTTTTCATTTGAAGAATGGATACTTCAACAAGTTTTGCGACCCCCACCCGCTTTTCCACCGCATGGGAACGTGTCAGCCTAGTTGTTTCAAACTTGGCAAGGTTTAGGTTAAAGGTTTTGGACCTTTCAGCAGATAAGCCGCAACTATGCTTGTCAGGTATCACCAAGTTCTCTCCCTTGACCTCTCCCGCAGATGATCAGCTTGCTTATGCCAGGCTGATGTCAGCATGCCAGAGGTGCGGCTTGCACTTGGTTAAGCCTAACTCAGGGTAAGTTGCAGAGGAAGCACGCTCCAGGCAGCAAAAGTTCCTCATGGGTCAACGCCTGCGGTCAGCAAGTTAGGTGCATTGATTGACAGAGCATCGAGCAGGCCAGTGCTGAGTGCGAGTCTGGTATTCCTCAAACGTGGGTTGCCTCCAATGATGATCGCCTGAGGTTTTCTTTTGGAAGGAGGCTACGGGGTGGATGACCCTATCAGGGACGATGATATGCGAGCTTGAGGATGTCCTACTCGAGTGGAATTAAGAGGCTAAGTGCACCCCATCCAAGAGCGGTTGTCAACGGTTGCTTAAGCCAAGCTTAAATACAGTTGGGTGGCAAAGAGAGCATTCGGGAGTGCAATTTCAAGGGCCTATACCGGGAACAAAGTGGCCTCAACGGCAAGCATATGGACCTTTTGAGAGCCCCAGGCTGGATAGAAGAGCAACCGATGATGTACTGAAGCTGCTTATGTTGCTATAGCATGAGGCCGAGATACCGTCTTGCAGTATCTCCTGCCCAAATCACATGAGGCTGGGAACACATATTGGAATAGCTGCATTTGAGGGGCGCACAATCGTTCTTACACCGTCTCTTCTTTGTTCCTATTCGAGCTTTTCGTCCTGGCAAGCTTTGCTTGGTCCTCAAATGGTTTCTAAGTCCAGAACCTGCGCGTGTCAGGAAGTTGGGTCTTGCATCTTGTGAATGCAATTTGCACAACAAGCCTCCGAACACTTGAAACAAACCTCCCTTTCTTCAGATTTGCTTCTCCTGACAACTGCTCGAACCGATTTGGATTGATCCACAGACCTTCACCTGCTTCCATGTGGCCACATCAAAATCTGTCCAACAGGCGGGCAGAACGCTCTTTCTCTGTTCTTGTTGCTCTCCTCTGTTTCACTGACGGCATCATCCCCTCTTCTTTCCAGGTGATCAACCTCACAGCGGACCTGCTGACAGAAGCCCGATCCACGGCCTCTGCAGCCGCACCTGCCCCTGTCGTCCCTCCAAGTCAAGCCCTCACCGCAGCTCTAAATGTTGGCGTACGAAAACCGGAGCCGCGAGTCGTCTTGAAGAAGACACCAGAGGGGCGGTTACCGATCGGGAGCAAAGTCGAGGCCTTGTATCGAGAAGATGGGGAGTGGTGAGTTTTGATCCGTTGCTGCTGTTTACCCGCTTTAAAGAGGCCGTCTACGCAGCATCGTCACCCAGCCACTTTAGCAGGGCCTAGCGCTGGGGGCACAGACCTTGATACTTTCGTTTTGGCAGTTGGGTAGCAGAAAGCCGTGTGACGTCAGGCGCTCCGAGTATCAGGACGCCCACTCTGACAGTACCCGGGCTAGTCGGAGTCTGAGGTGCTTGAGGCAACAGTGGATCATCAGAGGAGCGTTTCCGACAGACAGGGGCAATGTCAGCAATGTCGTCGGTGCTCTATTGCGTGACTGCAGCTTGCGTGAGTAATCACACTCATGCTGCGGTTTTACGCCGTATGAGGGCTCTGCCTCTCCAAGAAGTGGCTGGGATCCGCGAAGCCGCTCGGAGGAGACGCCGATTCGACGTGTTAACTTCCGTCGTTTGCAGGTACAAGGCTACGATTGAAGACTTCACAGATGCGGGGTACCTCATCAAGTACGATGACTTTGAAGACAAGGAAGAGGTGAGTGGAGGACTTGTCCGCCCTTGGGTCTGCTCCGTACGTTCCAGAGCCAGTTTTAAACTGCTCTGGCCCACAGAAGCTCACGTGCGACTTTTCAGAGGCTGTTGCAGACCGCGATGATTTCGTCACCGCTCTCTCGGTGTGGTACCCCGGCAAGCCCGTCGGTCCGCATTTGACGGAGCCATCCGCTGCGTTCATGCAGAGCTCGTCCGCGTAATACGTGCTTGCGGAGTCAAAGGCTGTTCTTCCGACACTCTATCAAGTTCATTGATCGATTGGCAGTGGGCCCCAGAGCCTACCGCTATCCTTACACCGATCTAGAAGTGGTGGTAAGAGCACAGTAGAAGATCTCAAATGCGAAAAGCCAACACTTTTATCGGATTACAACGTCCGTGCAGGTTGTGGTAGAGCAGAGTAGATTACTCCAAACGTGAAAGTCGTAAAATCTCGATTACTGAAACACGACACTTGTGCAGGTTATGGTGGAGCAAGTCCGGTCGGCCGAGGGCCCCGGCACCAACCCCCTAGCAGACGCCGAGAAAGTCGCGGAGGAGGCGCGGCTGGCGCTGAAGCGCAAGATTGCCGAGGCGGCCGAAAAAGACCCGGACATGCCGAAGGACCTGCCCAAGAGCCTGCGGATCAATCCCGACGACTCGGAAGAAGTTGTGAGTGTTGCGATCTCCTACTTTGGTCCGGCACGCCGCAAAGAGAGAGACACAGTACCGTAAGAGTTGCTGGAGTGTTGTTTCTGCAATAGCCAGAATGGATCAGCCAGGTAAAGTCCATCTCGCACCGTCGGAAAAGCTGGATTTGTCACAGCAGGGCCCCTTGTTCTCGTTCCCGTGGATCGCATTCCTTACTGGCGAGGATTCCAGACGATCTACCAATGAATGCTGAAGGCGAGCTCGCTCTCGAGAAAGTCGAGAGACATTCTGCGATCCTTTCAGCAATCGCGAAAGAGATGTCAGCAGGCTAACGCCGTGAATTGCTTTTTAACCTTCAACCTTGCTGTAGATGCGGTTTTTTCTGCCCGAAACCCCAACGGGATGGCTCCTTCCCTCATTCCATTTTCCCTTTACAGTGGAGCTATTTATAGAGACTGCCGTTCGACTGGTTGGAACAAGTTTCCAGCAAGCTTACTTCGTTCTCACGCTTTGTCTCCAGCGGGCGACCAAGAGGAAGAAGATCCATCAGTGGAAGTCGAAGCAGCGGTTTGAAAAGCTGGAGGTGACCCAGAACAAGCGACAAAATGCCTGGCAACAATTCCAAACGTCCGGGTCGAAGAAAAAGGTAAGCAACCCGACACTGCAATTTTTGTCGGTCTTTTGCGGCGGGATGGGTATGATGAGGGGCGTGTATAGTGCAGGAAATGTCTCAATACAGGTTCTGAAACGGGGGAGCTTGTGCTTAGGTCTGAGGCTCCGGGTTTTCGTCTTTGGACCGCTTCTTATTTGTGCGGAAGAAGGCTTCTTAGTGTTGGGTTGTCGGACTTGGTTGCGCAGTCTCTTTCGAGTATCTTTGGAATTGCCATCTCGCTGCTCCGGACGAAAGCCGGTATCAAGATCGGGCGTTATTGCTTAAACAAAGATACTGCATTAGCGACCACCAAGCAGGTTACAAGACTTAACTTGAGCGAGGATTGCGTTTGCTCCTGTTTAACATCCACGACTGTGGCGCTTGACTGCCTTTGACCTCCCATCAACCTTGCAATAAACTGTTGCCCGCAGGCGGGATTCTTCACGGGCAAGAAGAAGGAGAGCATCTTCAAGTCTCCCGACGACCTGAGTGGAAAGGTTGGCGTCGTTGGTAGCGGAAAGGGACTTACAGATTTCAGTGGTAGACAGAAGCATTTGCACTCTCGGCAAGACAATGACACGTGATTGTTAAAGTTTGCATCCTGCACCTGATTCTCAAAAGATACTCCTTCTGGTGTTGTTCTCAAGCAACGCTTACCAACTTCTCGTATTTTGTACGATTTTGTCTAACGTGCTCTTCTTCGAAAGCTATTCTTGATAACGAGCAGACTGCCTGCTTCTTCTGGTTGAATGACAGCTGGCTGCACTTGTACTGGGCCGGTGATGCTGCGCTAGAGAGTGCCGAGCTCTTTTAGTGTGCAGTACAGTGTAACCGCAGGCACCAGGCTTCAGGCTTGTGGTGCATTTATTGATCATGTGCTGCAACCCAAGATAATGCGCGCTTACAAACGATAGCATGCATGTGTGATCCGAGTAGAATGCGCACGAAGCTCGGCGCAGCATTCGGCGAGTCACCATGCAGATTTGAGTACATTTGCACTTTTTCTCACTCGGCTGTGTATACTCATGAAGCGGCCTGCCGTGCCCACGTGCCCATTGCCGCCGTCACTTCAGTCATCCAGATGACTTAGGTTCAATCAAGCTTTTGGTCGACAGTGAGCACACTTGAGGGCAGTCCGCAAGGATCTCCGGCAACTTATTGCGTGAGTCACGCGAGCGAGCTGAGCCGCCCAGGCAAGCACGCGTCTGCATGCCATATGTCGGGTCAACATGATCTGGGCATTGACACACATGCAGGTCACCCAACAGAATTCGGACAACATTGATTGTTATATGTACGGTGTTTATGGCATCTCACATGCTGTGATACTGCCTTTATGTGTATGTCGGACGAGTCCACGGCCGATCAAGTCTACAACTAAAGTAATCAAGGCTAGAACATTCCGCAATATTGTCTATGGTACTTGAAGCGAGTCGCTAGGGGACGTTCATGACCATCAAGTACGGCGGCGGAGTCGGAGCTTGAGATGGCGCTGGCTCTGGGGCACTCGGTGAAGGGCCGGTGGAGTTCGCATCGGGTCCTGGAGACGGGTCTGATGGTGCACTTTGCGGCGTGTTGAAGTACTGGGGGGCTGGAGCAAGGGCGGGGGCGTCAACGGAGGGCGTCGGAGGAGTCGCCGGCACAGGTGAGCAGCCGCCTTCATTGATGCTGCATCGACGATGAAAGAGGCGTTACGGAAGTCCTTCTCAATAATTGTTCACGGAATGCTTCTGCTAGACGAAATCCTATGATGAGATTTACCGGGCGGAGGGGTAGGGTGCTTTTCGACAGTTCAAGGTAGTTGAAAGCTTCAGTAACCACGTCCTGGATCATTGCTTGATTGAATGGAGTACAGTCTGATTGCATCGAGGCTATGGTAAGTGCCGGAGTGGAAGCTTCTGATACGACTTATCGGTCGAGCTCGCCTTCAGACTCTGCCCTGTTTTCGGCAATCCCAAGTCGCTGCCGAGCTCACCTGCTTTGCAGCTGATCCACGTAGGACGTGTGGGCTTCAATGATGCCCATCGTAGAGTCTCCAGGCAGCACAGTGTAGTTGTACTGCCCACCTGTTGACGAAGAGCGTAGTTCTGAGGAAGGCGAACTGAAGTGATGCAGCTTCGAACTAAGGCCAGGTAAAGTATCGGAAAGGCTTGCTGCAAGCACCAAGTTTCCGTACTGTGGAGAGAGGCATTCAAACGAGCGGACTCGAATAGAAAGCTGGAGCCGCTTTCTGCAGTGATTGCAAGGCTCATGATACTTGCCTGGGCTTTCGAAGACCCAAAACGCGGAGCCTTGCACCGGCCCTCCCTCTTGCATCGACTGCTGCAGTCGGGAGTAGATGTTCCGAAAGAACCTGCACACACGCTTTTCTGAGTTGATGAGCATTTGGGTCTTGTGTGAACATTATCTTCATAATGGCGAAGGAGTGCACGCTTTGCAGCATTGAAGCCACGCTCGTTCGAGATAGCAACGGAATCTCAAGTTGCAGACGTACTTTGACGCGTGTGCGGCAAGAGTTACTCACGTGTCTTTCACGCTGATGTCATCCTTGGGTGTGATCGCCTTCCCAAACTCCTCGTAGATTAGCGGCTTGCCCAGAAGCTGGAGTCTATCAAAGCGGGTTGGGTTTAGCCTGATGCCTTTCTCACCGCCTTCTCAGAAGCCAGAGTAATGAGGTCCGGAAAGGTACTCGAGCGGCTTCACCGCAATTCTGAATCCACCATGAGACTATTGCAGAACGTCATCGTAGAGCTTTCTGAGACCACCTGAAGTTTTGCTCGAGCAAAACTGAGGATCGTCAAAGGATGCTTTGCTTACCTTTGCGTCGTTGATGTGGCACGTCAGCCAGAGGTCGACAAATTGGATCTTCTGCTCCCAGGTCGTCGACTTGTTCGAGCCAAACCAGTTGTCCGTCCTACAAAAGCGTCCCCTGTCAGATGATTTCTTCCTCCTGTGTCAATCATTGCAAAACCAGTATCCACTGATCTGGCGGCTTTCTTTTGAAGTCAGCAGTATGAAGAGATTGAGATTGAATCGAAATTCAGCGTCAGCTCTAGTCCCTTGACCACCGATGTCGCTTAGAATGCAAGGATTGGAAATGAACCGAGAAGAAGTATGTACATTACCACAGATGTGCTGCCGCGAAGTCGATTTCAGGAACTAGGTTGTTGCGGTAAAAGTCCTGACCCGATTGCTGCGGCCACTTGTCTGTAATCAGAAAGGTGCACAATCTGTTAAGTCGGAAAGAATAATGGTGCTCGAAGGGAGGGAAAACGGGGACCAAGTTTAGATTGTTTCACGGCAATTTCACGAAGTATCTGCAGCTGTTTTACAGAATACGCTGATAGGGGCTCGCTTCGAAAACGACACGAAGACTTTGATGATTTTGAGAGATCTGGGTTTTGACGGCGTTAGGAAGTTTGGAACTTGCCTGGGTAATCGGGGTTGCACATCCAGCGGCTACTAGTCAAGCTGTAGAAGCCCTCAAAGCCGGTGGCCAGCATATGATTAGGGTCAATAATCTGCATCAATCCAATTTTTTTCTCAAATCAAATCGTGCCCTGCATAACCGTGCAGCTGGCTTGAAAAACGAGGATGGTGTGCAAACTCCTTCGAGCAAGAAATAAGCAGGAGGGACCCGCGCTTCCACGGTTTCAACTTTTCCAGCAGCAGGCGTACCTTCACGAAAGCGGCCATCTCTTCGATCCAGCTCTGAACGGAGTCAGCGCAGTAATTGCCCGATTCGCACCTGTAAAGAAAGAATTCCTGTCCAAACGGCGTCATGAATTGCATCCAGCAGGTCCCGCACGCAAAGTGTGCTTATAGAGCAAACACGAATAGTCTGGATGCTAAATTTGTCCATGCCGCCATGCAGAAATCCGGAGATCAGCAGGTGACTCACCTAGGCTCGTTCAGGAGGTTCCATCCCAGAATGGTGGGATCATCGAGGTACGAGATGCCGCTGAACACGTTGACATGAGTCTGCAGCATCAGCCCAAGGCAATATATCAAGAATTGATGTAATCAGCGTCCTTCTTCACCGTGCTGTCGGCGGCAAAGAGCTTGCGGAAGATGTGATGAGAGATTCCAATCTGCTCGCCGCAAATGGATCCAGGAGCAGACCGCAATGTCAGGTCGAGGGACCTCAGGGGACGTTAAGGGGCCTTAGTGGATCTTCTTCTAGTATCTAATACCACTGCATAGTCTATTCTGGCAAGTGAAGATCAAGGGATTGACTCACCAGGAAATGCTGGACATGGTTCTTGTAAAGCTGCTTGCACTGCAAAGCAAACGAGAAACGTCAGTGATCGTCTTTGCTTCTCCCCTGGTAAAATTGGTTTTCACAGAGCCACCTCACATTCAGCTTGTGATAATCTGCTCTATGGGTAAGTAGGCTTGAAATATGGTGCATATAATGGACGCAGAGGAGCTTCACAGAATGTCGTCTGTCGCATGCTACAACAGCTGGCTCACCTCTTCTTTTGTGAAGAACTCGTCCATGCTTTGTGTACCGCACCACTGGATGTACTGCAAAACAAGGAATTACTTTATTGAAATCTTCTTGAGATGAGTGGATCAGAATCTCAAGAATGGTTGATGCAAGACCTTGCACGAACAAGAATGTAGACTTGGGAGGCGGATGAGCTGAAGAAAAGGATCCAGCCTCGCTATTGACTGTGATATCTTAGTATCAAAAGAAACGCTTCGACAAGCGTACGTAGGGTCATCTCAAGGTGCTTTGCTCACCTGATTCACTGAGTCGTAGTCTGTCCAGTAGTTAGCAAAGGGCATGATAACCTGCAGCAGCATTATCATTCTCAAATGTACATCATGTCAGGTTCTGTTTCAATAGAAACTCAAGAAAGTCTTTCTTCGCTTGATCATGCTCGAGATCATTAGCGACTTGGTCACGCTCCCAAGTGCGCCAAGCTTGATGCCCGATAGGCTAGACAAACGATCCTGACCTTGTGTTTTGGAACCAAATATTTGAAGCCGAAAGTTTTTGTGCAGGTTTTTGCAATCTGACGCAGCTCACATATATGTTTCGTTTTGCGGCTTCACTGATGACGTAGTCCAGACCTGTAAGACATTGAACGGAGGTTATAACGTAACAATTAGTCATATCATTCTCTTCTGTCCGTTCTTGTGAAAACATGGAATCTGGTAAGCGATTAGAAACACGTTTCAATCAGAGGCTTGTGTTCAGTGGAAGTAACTCACTCTCAAAGACGCTCTCGTTATATTGGCCAGGAGCGATCTGCAGAAGAAGAAGCATGAGAGTTGGGATCAGCGAGTAGTAAAAGACCATCACCGCAAGCTTTACTACTGGCAGGCTTCACGATCGAGTACAAAAGGAGATGATTAAGGACAAGTATTCTGCAGAAAACAATAGAAAAAATTGACAGCCGCAGGGGCTAACTTCCATTCTTGAGACGCATTCTTAACATGGTCGAGGGAGCGTACCAAGCCCCGCCAGCCTGTCGATTTCATCAACGGCAGATTGACTTGTCGAAGTTGAGATTTTGGAATTAGTGGGGAGCAGATGCTACCGGCTAACCTGAAGGTTGGTGCTGGATGTGGTTCCAAAGCCCCAGGTGCGGACGACAGTCAGTCCTTGCTCTTTCATGTAGTCAAGGGATGTCTGAACGTAAGATGTAATGTTGCTGGTACTACCATTTGATGCCGCGTAGGCCTGCAAGAGCAAGAGACCTTGATTTACGCCCCAGCCAGCTAGTCCTTTTGCAAGCATATTGAATTGATGCGGAAAGCGAAGACCACTAACGAATACGAGCTTCTTTGTCGAGCTGACATGATCAAACGAACTGGAAAAAAGATATTATCTAATTTCAGAAAAGGTTTGAATGAGTAGAATATTCAGTGGTTAGCTTTGAGCACAAGTTTGAATAGAATCTTGTCCTTACCTGTCCCAAGTCCCATTGATTCCAACCCGCAAAGACAAACCTCTTGCACCCAAGGAAGAGTTGGGTTCCCTCCGCCCGGATAAAATGGGTTCCTGTGAGTCAAGTTCCAAGTACTGTCATCTGATGCAGAAATTGCTGAATCACCAGCCAGGACAGTCGGATGCTTGACAGCAGCGAAACCAGGTCAGGATCCGCAATCTTCATTGCATGACATTGAAGCGTTTGTTCTGCAGGTCTTACCATTGGAGCCTCCAGAAGAGGTGTCGGTCGATTGAGCCTGTAAAGGAGAGGGACAGCTCGATGATTTGTAAGGTTACGATAATTCTGAGGGGAAATCGACGTTTAAAGCAGATACAGAAAAGGAGGCATTGGAGATAAAGGAAAAGGAGGCTCCATTTAACGTCGGATGAAGCCTGAAGAACATGAAATATCGCGATCCAGCATATCATCAAACAGGTCTAATATGCAAATTTAAGGGCTGCAACTTTGCAATCACTCTGATGCAGTAACCAATCTTACCTGAGCCGTGCTATCCCATGCAGCCACGAGGAGGATAGGTGCAAACAAGATGCATAAGGATGTTTGCCGGTCGCGCGTCATTCTTCCCAGCTTCTGGAGCGTACTTCCAGTCACCACGGGGTCCGGCAGAATCTTAGCAAGTTGGCGACTGTCCTCAGCGACGAAGTGCAAAAACCTGTCTTTCGATCTCAAATGCTGCTTTCTGCAGATGCAGCAAGATTTGCTACTTTTCACCGCACGTTCAGGCTTGGACAACCAATTTCGCAGCACCCTGACTTCCCCTGTGCTCCGCTACTGGCTCGTCTGTTTCTCCTTCGACAGAATGTGACTCACCTTCCTCCTTGCAAGCTTTCAGAACCTGTCTTAATCCAGATTCGTAAAATTCAAGCAGAACGGGTTCCAAGACTATGATTCTTTGGCGCGCTGATCTGCGCGTATCCTTCGCGAGTGCCGCCCTGCGCTACTCGGCTGTAACTCGTTTCCCCTGTTTTTTTGTTCATAGATCAATGCAATCCAGCATTCCGTCGATCGACCGGGTCTGCACTGAAGCATGCCCGGGAAGAAGAGAGAAGTCTTTCCATGTAGGCTGCAAAGTGACCCGGTAGAATGAACCGGGCAGCCTCCTCAGGAGGAGCCCGACGAATTTCATGACCTTCCAGGACGTCTTCGAATGTGGGGTTTTACATTAGTCTTAGCTTCAAGAATGAGGTAAGCGCTGGTCCTAACTTTCAAATTTGAGCGGGAAAAAGTAAGAGCAATGTACTACGTGCACGCACGCGCGTCGCGCAGAGCGAAAATTTGGATTGTTCGATCGTCAATTAACGAGGTGCTGAGGCGCGAAGCCCGTCAGAGAATCTTTCAGAGGGGCCTCAAGCTCCGTAATCTGACCCATCGCTGGAGAAGGCACATGGCTTGCGCATGGCACAGAAGCAGATATGAGCCGCATGTAAAGTGTCGGCGATCGTCCATGCGGTTCAGACTTGAGGCACCCCACAGCTTCATGCTTAGTTGACGAAGCTAGGCATCGACAGGCTGTCACAGGCTTGGCAGAGGCACCTCGAAGTGGATTGTTGCTCTGCGCTGCTGAGAGGAGCTCTGCTTGAAGTCCATCGAAGATCCGCCCTTTTAAATTCTTGCAGAATGTTGACCACCTAAACATTGCGGATCACGAGCAGGTCAGAGGGAAAGCTGAGGAGCATTTCAACTAGTTCCGGAAGGTCGACGGAAGTTCTCTGGCAGTGGCAGGGAGGAAGTTCGGGGAGAGACGAAGACTTTTGGTTTTCCAGACGGAACAGAGTTCCTTTGCGGGGAGGACGAAAGTAGAAAACTCTGCTTGAGAGGTTGGTTGACTTTCTTGCTCCAGAGATTAGCTTTGGCAAAGGGGGATCGCTCAGACGGACGACTTGAAGAAGCTACAATGGGCTTCACAAAGGCATGGCTTCGGTGCTCGTTACTTGTGCTCTTTCTCTGCACGCTGGGAAGCTGCTCTGCAAAGGGCATCGAGCGCGAGATGACGCGTGCCGGTAAGTTTCCGATGCAGATCAAGCTCTGAAGCTGCCCCTCTTTGGTTGTCATGAAATTAGTGCTCAGTATCTTCTACAACTGAGTCGGGAGTGTCGTCTGATTGGCCCAGACCCAGGAGATAGGTCTCGGATGTGCCCTACAAAACAGTTGGGCTGACATAAATATTGGCTTTTTGTTACTGACCTTGAGTTTGCATGCATGTGAATGAGAAGATTTCAAATGTCATAGCCGATTGTAGGCTTCATTGCTGGATTTATTTCACATGTCCAAAGACTAATGTTGAAAAGAGCCGTTTCAGAACAATCTTGAGTCTACAGGATGAGAGGGGAATCCTAAAGAATGCTTCCTACTCAGGCAAGCAAGCGTGTGTGCAGGTTTTGCAAGGGTGAGGAGCCGAAGCCTGAAACGTGAGTGCCCACGAGCGAACTTTCTTTTGAGACTTCTTTGTCCGGAAAGTACTTTAACTTCGTAGTTTTTATCGGCCAACTGACTTGGATAACCAGAGGCCTTGACGTCTTTGGGCTGCTTGCTTTCCCACTCGCGGACAGAACTAAAAAAAACTCGCAAAATGCTTCGCGAGAGAGTAAACCAAGAACGAGGACTCTGGGGCACACCCCAGAACAGTCAGGCCTCTTCGCGTATAAGGAACGACTCTGTTTGTCACGCAAATAGATGCAGATAAATATTGGATTTTGATTGAGTGCTCTGAGGGAGATCGGTTGGTCTCGTCGGCTGATTCCACCAAAGCAAGACAGCATGGTCCTCCTACCTTTCCATCTATGATATCGGCTGAGTCCTTGCTTACAAAGGTCAACTCGCGAACAAAATTTGGTTCGTTTTAGGAGTTGGCTTCTGTGACTTTGAGGGTGGGTGGATGGCTAGCTGGTGCATTGCCCACCTTCTCGCTACTTCAGATAGTGAGTCAATACACGAACACGTGATATGCTGTCTTCGGTTTCTCTTCTTCCCGCAGATCCGCGCTGCTCTTTAGTCTCTCCTTTCTTTAGAGCATGTCTCAACGTTCTCAACAGGAAAGCAAACCCGTCGAGATGCTCAGTAAAACCTCTAGTTCCAGACACGGCAAGAACATTTGCATGGAAGTTCCTTTGATCAGTCTCTCCCTTCCCGACCCTTTCTCACCATCCCCTGACCTTCCTAACCATCCCCTAACCTCCCGTAACCCCTCTCTCCAGCCGTGGACGCCACCGGTGTCGGCGTGCTCGTCCCCAACAGCCCGATCGCCGTCGCGTATGACCTGGACCACGGCATTCCGGTCACTCACAACGTGACCGGGCCCGCCATTGCCCCGGTCACTGCGGCAGTGGCGCCCGGGGCAGTGGCCATCCCTGCCCCGGCCCCTGCCCCCGTTCCGGTTGCTGCCGCGGCGCCCGTTCCGGTTCCGGCCCCTGCGCCCGTTCCGGTTCCGGCCCCTGCCCCGGTGCCTGTGCCTCCGGCGCCTGCCCCAGTTGCTGCTGCGGGGGGAGCCGCTAACGCGACGGCACCAGCGCCTGGTAAGCTTCTCTCGAGGCTACATAACCTGAACCCTGCCAGCATATGCTTTGCATCTTCAGATCTGGAAGGAAAAAGCGTTTGAATGGACAGATGAGATCCTTCCTTCCTTCTGAAAGAGGAAGGCAGAAGGTGCTTCAAAACGGTCAAGGAAAAGCTCAGGTTCAAAAATCCATCTGTTAATCTCGAGCAATCAGCTGCATGAGTCCCGATCTGCGCTTGCCTCAACCCGAGGACCTTCGCGTTCAAAAGCGGAGGGGTCGATCGTCACTCCAAACAAACAACTTCGTCAAGGGAGCGTGATTTTCTGGGTACCTATTCTATATGACCAAAAGCCAAATCTCGTGTCTTACGAGGACGAGTTGTCGAGTGTCAAGACAGGACCCCGAGTCCTCGGCGGTATCGATTCCTCTCCTCTCCTTAGCAAGCATTCAAACGACTAAATCCCTCTTTTCGACGATCCGTTGCTTCTCGTCTGATTGAAAGTCCGAACGTTATTTTCCTTCTTTGCAGCCACAGCAACTGCTCCTAGCGCCCGAAGGCTGTTGCAGGTCGAAGCGCCAGGTAAGGGCGTTTCCTGCAGAATCTTCGACCTTTCTGACAAGATCCCTTCTACACGATGCTTACGATAATCAACCAGCTTGAGCACGCTTTCGGCATCAACTAAGTACTGGATCCCAGTCAAGTTGTCAGGAAGCTCTCGCTCTAGCAAGTTTCCCTTTATTTCCCTGCAAGTGCTGCTTCTCGATGAACGTTTTCAAAGTCCGTGTTCTTGAGATCCAACCTTGTCGTCTGCTACCTTGCCTCAATGGTGCTCCTGGTTCACACGGAGCTGACAAGCTAAGACGTCTCGAGCCAGTTTTACCTTTGCATTCCCGTTCAGACCTCTAATATCCATGATTTTTAAAAACATTCTCACTGCTTCTTCCGCACACCTCAGTTCCCGCGTCCGCGCCCGCGCCCGCGCCAGGCGCATCGGCGGCCGCGGGCGCGCGCCGCCTCCAGCAGGCCCCCGTCCCGGCACCGGCACCGGCGCCCGTCACGGGTACGAATCATCTGTGTCGTGTACAGTCATTTTTGACAGCCGAAGATGATGGTCCGCAGAGCAGCTTGCAGTCTTGTTCTCGTACCTGTCGTTCATAGCATGAGCTCTCCATCATGTTCTAGAACGTTTACGAGAGAACGAGGGTCAGATTGAGGACGTTCAGCTTTGTCTGAATCGGCGAAGGGATGCGCTCAACCTCCCAAACGTCCAGTCATTGAAAGACAATCAGCGCCTGCCTTTGTTCTTTCTTCGTCTATTTGTCTCGCGCCAAATGTTGGAAAGCTGATTTTACAGTAAGATGCTATGAGTTTGCGAGAAGTCATAGTTGATCCAACAGAAGATCGCTCTATTTTTGTCTTCTTTCTTTTCCTTTGCCGCGCCCAGTAAGTGAAGCAACTCGACTTGGTTCGAAGAGCGCACCTTCGCTTTCAAATTGTCAACGACAATTTTCTTGAGAAGGAATTGTTGAAACACTCCAGCACACCAGTCCCGGGATATGCTGTCTCCGCAGTCACTCTCTCTATAAATCGCTTCCTCCCTTTGACCTGTTAGCGGCCGCGGCCCGCGGGGCGCGTCGCCTCCAGCAAGACGTTGCGCCTGTGCCGGCG